AAAAAAAAAAAAAAAAAATGGAGGTGGTGGTTGCACAACATTGTGACAATGCTAAATGCCACCAAATTGCGCACTTTAACATGGTTAATTTTATGTGAGTCCCATCTCAAAAGAAAAGAAAGATCCTGACCGCACCCTGTTTTCCCTGGTCCCTTGAGAGTTTGCGCAGCCAGGTCTGACGAGGCCGATCGCTCACGCTGCCTGCTGGGGCGGCCTCCCAGCCCCGTGGGAGATTGTTACTGTCACACTGACCGAGTTTGTCAGGTTGCCTGTGGGGAGAGGGTGGTTGTCTCCAGCAATCTCACCAACACAGGGTCTCCAGAAAAAGTCCAAGCACAGGAATTAATAGTCGCAGCACTCTGCCTCTTCAGAGATTTTTTCATCTCTAACCGTGCCTTAATGTTTGAGTCCTCCCATCTGTTGGCACCTGACCTCTTTCTGTAATGAGGTTAGCGACAGTGAACAAGGCCGCGGGTCACCTGCCGCTGGGTGCCAGTCTCTGTTAACGCTCCTCGAGCCCCTCAAACGATGAGGCTCGCTGGCTGGGATCTCACAGGCAAGGTCAGTGCACGCCGGTTCTCGGCCCTTTGCTTTGGCTGACTTGGTTCACTGTTGCAACAACTTACTGTGATTATTCCCGTTTCACGAGTGGGGAAACTGAGGCACAGAGAGTTCCAGTAGCTTTCCCGAGACTGCACAGCTAGTAGAAGGCAGAGCCAGGATCACAAAGGAAAAACGCGTCAACCAGTGTTTGCTGTCCAGGCAGTCTTTTCAGGGTGGTGATTTTATTCAAGTACATGTGATCATTCAGCCTTAGATATATTTTTCAGCACAGGTTTTAAGGAAATGATTATTTAGATTGATTAAAATAGATTTTTTTTTGTTCTACCTTCTGATCATGTTAGTTTGGGAACTGTTTTCAGATAACGAAATCCAGACTGATCATCATGGGCACAGTTCAGTCGTCCATGCGGTTTCGGGGTGGGCTTTCCCCACTGTATTTGTGTCAGCTGTTAATTTCCGACACACCGAAACCATATTACGGAGCTCTCATGTGTTTTGGCCGCATTTTGCAGCTAAATCAATATTTATTAACTTGACCATCTAATTATGAACATTCATTTTCTATGATTATCGCATTTTGATTTTTCTCTCTAACACTGTGTCTTTTCCTTCTGCAGAGAATTCTGCCGGGTATCGGGAGAGATGGGGAACAGCAAAAGCCGTTCGGGGCAGAATTTTTGTTCGCGGTTTCTTCCTGAGGAGCAGGCGGAGGTGGACAGATTGTTTGCGGCTCTGTCGTCCGATGAAAACGGCTCACATGCCTCACCCGCATCCTTCTCTCTGCAGGCGCTGAAGGCAAGAGTGACAGTCAGTAGTTAAGGTTTAGTCTGGCACCAGGGGGCTGTAAACTATGGCCCTGGGGCCGACCGGCTCCCTATTTTGTAAGATAGTTGGATGGGAACAATAAACAGCTTGTTTCCTGTAAAGGGCCAGATAGTGCCTGTTTTTGGCTCTGTGGCTGAGTGGTCTCTGTTGCAACTACTCTGCTCTGCCATTGTGGCAGAAATCAGCCATGCACGATACCTAAACAAATCCCTCCCCTCTTGGAAATCAATACTCCCTTATCTGTACTAAAGAAAGGCAGTCAGAGTAAATAATGAATGATTTACACAATGTTTTGGGGACGTTTCTAACTCGAGATGGACACCAAAGGGGACAGCTTGCTTTCTGTCTCCCAAACCAGGTGTCTCTTGACGGCCGTCCCGGAGACCGAATCACAGGTCTGCCTTCGTGGACTCGTAGCTTCAGTAACCATAACATTTCAAGTGTACCTTTGCCTCTGGAATTTATGAGTGTCTGATGCCCTAGACGTTTTTTGATACTCCTAACAAAATAATGAAGTTTCAAATTCAAGGTTCACCTTACAAAGAGTTAAAACTGCCTGTTTCTCCATCTTTCGCCCCATTCTGTGGGGCTCGTAACTGCATGTTTGAGTGCTCAGACTAAGGCAGGACTGGCAAAGAGATACCGTCAGCTCGCCTTCCTGGGAGTCTGGGAAGGTGTCCCACCAGCCTTCTCTTCTGGAACATGCAGGATGGGAGCTGATGTGGGGCGGTGGGGTCCGCCCTGCACACTCATGTTATAGAGGAGGAAACTGGCCCAGGAGGTCATCCAGGTCGCCGCTGTGTGGTTTGACACGCACGTGTCTCCACCGGACCAAAAGCACACCTGTGGGCCTGTGGCACACACTGCTGAGTTGGAGCAAACAGAACCAGACAGGCCAGTTACAGCCTTGACTGCAGAGTGGGCGGTTAATGTTCGCGAGTGTCTATCAAGATAAACGTGGTTAAGAGTGGATCACAAGACCTTGGCGACTGAGAAACGCTCTCTTTGGGAAGGAATGAGAGGTGGTTTTTCCAGGAGAACTTTGCAAACACTGACAGCAAAAGGAATATTCTTTTTGAGCAGTGAGCGTAGAAGCCTGCCTTGGAAGAACTGTAGAATATTGACGTGGTGACACACGGTGTTACCTCGTCAGCTGTTACAGGAGAATCTGTCTTTCGGATCCTACCATGCAGGAAGCTGGTGATTTGTTTGGGATCTGCTCTCGCACCATTTATTTGTAATCCCCAGATCAAATCAGATTTGATGCTGCAGCCAAAAAGGAGAACAAATATTTACAGAATGTTAAGGCATTACGAATGAAATTTAAAATCTAAATGCACATTAATTAAAAATGCATATCGAGCACAAAGAACTTGGATAAGAAGTGAAAGCTAGCTAATACATTTGGAAATCCCTCATGTAGAGACCAAGCGAGCTACACACAGACGTGTTACGTGTGTTAATAAATTCAGACACGCCAGTGGCAGCTGTTGGAGTCTAGAATGAAGGTGATGTTCTAAGCAGAGTGAGGAGCAGATGGTGGCCAGAGGCAGGACGATGTGGCCAGTCTGGGGAGAGGGGAAGGTTCGGAGGCATGGTGGGAACAGCCACACCTGGGTGCTTAGGTGGTACGAGGCCCTTAGGTGGGCAGGGGAGATGGCACATGTGGGATGTAGGAAGGTTCAGGGGCTGATGGCAGCATCGTGGGGTAGCAGTGGCTGGTCTTGGCCCTCTGTGTGTTTTTTTGTGACACTGCTGAGTCTAACTTGCAGCCTTCTCTCCCACTTGTCCCCAACAGAACCACGTTGGGGAAGCTCTTCCCCTGGAGATGGTCACCAGACTGTACGACGGCATGCGGAGGGTCGACTTGACGGGGACGGCGAAGGGGCCCAGCGAGCACGTGTCCCAGGAGCAGTTCACAGTGTCCATGTCCCACCTGTTGAAAGGAAACTCCGAGGAAAAGAGTCTGGTGATTCTGAAAATGATTTCTGCCACAGAAGGGCCTGTGAGAGCCAGCGAAGTCCAAAAGGTAGGGCGGCTTCGAAGCCCTCTGCAGCCTCCTAAGCAGCCTTGGTGTCCTTAGGTGGGGGACGTAGGCCAGCTACATGGCTGATGGAGGCATCATGGAGATGTCCACCCTTGGGGAGCCCTAGACCGCATAACTGTCTCGTCCAGGTCAGAACACCTGGACAAAGCCTTTGACAAAACTTCTAGGCCAGCCAAGTGTATCATTAGAAAACAAATAACTGCATAAGTTGCATAATTTTTCCCCACGTTGTGGCCTGTTACAGTTGGCATTAAAGAGGTAAAATTGCCCTTCTCCATATTGTGATATGACTTAGATCTCAGGTTACAGCGGGACTGTTTCTAATGGTAAAATTGTGATCTTAAAGTTTACAGAGGACCTGGTTGGCTCTGTGGTGCACGTGCTAGACCACAGACGGGAGCTGAAGGGCTGGACCCGGAGGGCCCCAGGTCCCGCCCCGAGGGTGCAGGCGCTGGCTGCTCAGCTGCTCTCTGAGATGAAGCTTCAAGGCAAGTGCCTGGCGGTGCTCGGTGATTCAGACCTTGCATCATAGAGTGGTACCCGCTGTTTCTGTTACTGTAGCCTTGCAGTTAAGTTTTGAAATCAGGAAGTGTGAGCCCCCCAGCCTCATTCTAGGTTATCTGATTTGTTGGCACACAGTTGTTCATAGTGTTTCCTTATGATCCTCCTCATTTCCGCAAAAGCAGTAGCGATGTCCCCACTTCCATTTCTGGTTTGAATAATTTGAGTCTTCTCTGTTTTTTTCTCTTTGTCAGTGTAGCTAAAGTTTTCACAATTTGTTGCTGATCTTTTCAAAGAACCAACTTTTGGTTTCATTGATTTCCTCCCCCCACCCCCAGCCTCCCATTGTTTTTCTAGACCCTTCTTCGATTAAGGACAGGCTAGAGTGAATGGCTGAGAGGCAATTTCATTTATTTTTGCCCTGGTTTTTTATCTCCTTCTGCTTGCTTTAGATTTAGTTTGGTCATCTTCTCCTATTAATAATTTCTTAAGGTGGAATGTTAGGTTGTTGTTTTGAGATCTCTCTTCTTTTTCAATATTGGCATTTACAGCTATAAATTTTCCTCTGAGCACTGCTTTAGCAGTATCCCGTAAGTTTTGGTATGTTATGTTTTTGTTTTCATTCATCTCAGTATTTTCTAATGTCCTTTATGATTTCCTCTTTGGCCTATTGGCTATATATAAGTGTGTTATTTAGTTTCTACATGCTTGTGAATTCCTCAAATTGCCCTGTGTTAATGATTTTTAATTTCATTTTATTGTGGTTGGAGAACGTACTTGTGCATGATTTCAAGTCTTTAAAATTTATTGAGGCATCTTTCATGACCTCTAATTTGGTCTATTCTGGATAATGTTCAATGTGCGCTTGAGAAGAATGTGTATTCTGCCGTTGGGTGAGAAACAGTATATATTTAAATTGCGATTTTAAAAAAACCTTGTGGTAAATCTCTTTGCAAAGTAGACTTTATAAATGTGTTGTTCTTTTGCTATAAAGCCAGATTTTTAAATGCAGTTTGAAAATAGGTTATATTAAAAAATTAATTTAAGCAAGGTATTTAAAACTTGGAAATAATAAAAACATAATATATATAAGTATCAGTAGTTTGTCTTATGGGTGTACTATTCATCAGTCTAGAGTCAGTATGTTTTAAAAGAAGAATCATAAAAATAGAATATTAAAGTTATAATTTTAGTAGCAAAAGTTAAGTTGAATGATTAAAATTGTCCTTAAGATTTCAAGTAATATACAGGTAATGAGAAATGAAACTATTGGAAAAATATTTTAATTGGAATGATAGGAATTTTGAAACATCATGGATGTTGGGAAATAGAAAATTAAGTGAGCAAGTTTTTACATTTCTGGTTAATAAAATGGACCTGAGTTAGAGAAGACGTCATCATTTCAGCTTAGATCGGAATCTCTGTAGGTTGGGAATTACAGTTGCTCTAAATTGAGCCTTTGCACGCGTCAGTAAGAGCTTAAAACATAGAAACTCCTCTCTTCCCTGTAACAACCAAACGAAGTAGGCTCTAGCACTACTTCCATTTTACACATGAGGAAACTGAGTCAGAGAAGACCCCTTGCCAAGGTCACGCAGGTAGTGAGCCAGTGTTTGAAGCCAGGCTGTGTGAGTCCCAGGTGTGTGTTCCTATAGTATCACTCTGTCACCTCCAATATTAGTAGGTAGGAGATGGCAGATAGGACGACAGATGCTACTTGGAAACGATTAAGCGTGATTTGTAGCTAGTGAATCCGCCCTTCCCTGAGAAACTACTGGGGTCCCAGTAAGTTGCCCGGCCCCTCTAAAGCCTCTGCACATCTGTCAGCGAGGGTTTAGACGGTAGCAATAAGGTGACGTAACGGCCCCACTAACGTTGAACGTCCCCCTCCCATAGATGGCGAGGGGCTCCTCGGCCCCCAGTGGCAGGACCGCGAGTGTGACCAGGCCGTGATCGAGGACTGGGTGTTCAGGGCGCCCCACGTGGCCGTGTTTCTGAGCGTGGTCATCCACAAAGGCTTTCTCGTCCTGTGCTCATCCCTCGATCTGAGCACCCTGGTCCCCGAGTGTCAGGTGGACCAGGGCAGGAAGCTTGAGAGCATCCTGGACGTCCTCTCGGTCATCTACGTCAACTCCCACCTGCCTCGGGAGCAGCGGCACCGCTGGCGCCTCCTCTTCTCGTCCGAGCTCGACGGGCACAGCTTCTCCCAGCTCTGTGGGCACATCACCCACCGGGGGCCCTGCGTGGCTGTCCTTGAGGACCACGACGGCCACGTGTTCGGCGGGTTTGCCTCCTGCTCCTGGGAGGTCAAGCCTCAGTTTCAAGGTAAGACTTGGCAACCCGAACTGCAAAGTGTGGCACGGCACCGGCGAGGAGCTCTGGCGAGACAGCTGCTGCCCTGGACACCTGAGCGCTGGCAGAGGGCGGAGGTGGCAGAGAGGGTCTCTTCCATCTCCACGTGTCTCTCTAGACACCGTGGGGGAGACAGTAAGACAGGATGCTGCTTTGAGGCGGTCTGCCATGTCACGGATCTCCGTTTCGATCCTGGCAGTGGGGTACAGTACACAGGACAGGCCTTGCCGCCCGTTTTCAGGTGAGGAAATAGGCCCGGCGTTACTACAGGGCGTGGAGAAGTCGGGCTGCAGGTGTCTCAGAGGGACCAGGGGATGCTGCCGCTTCCAGATGTCCCCTCCCCCACTGTGTGCACTGGAGCCTTTGCCTTTCTTTTCTGCCATGTAGTTTCCTGGTCTTATGGTTTTGCTGGAAATTCAAAGCTCTGTGTGTGGCCTTGAATGCATTGGATGAGAGGCTCTAAGTAAATCCTCTTCCCCTCAAAGAACACTCTGTTAAAAATTGTCCTTTAGGCTGGGCGCAGTGGCTTACACCTGTAATCCTAGCACTCTGAGAGGCAGAGACGGGAGGATTGCTTGAGCTCAGGAGTTCGAGACCAGCCTGAGCAAGAGCAAGACCCTGTCTCTACTAAAAAATAGAAAGAAAGAAATTGACCAAACACCTAAAAATAGAAAAAATTAGCCGGGCATGGTGGCGCGTGCCTGTGGTCCCAGCTACC